ACAGGAGTGGCACCTGGTGTGGTCTTCTGCTGCTGTAGCCCATCCACCTCAAGGTTCTATGTGTTGTGTGTTCAGAGGTGCTCTTCTGTTTACCGCAGTTGTAGCGAGTGGTTATTTGAGTTACTGTTGCTGTTCTATCARCTTGAACCAGTCTGACCATTCTCCWMWGACCTCTGGCATCAACAAGGTATTTGCGTCCACAGAACTGCCGCTCACTGGATATTTTCTCTTTTTCGGACCAATCTCTGTAAACCCTAGAGATGGTTGTGGGTGAAAATCCCAGTAGATCAGCAGTTTGTTAAACACTCAGACCAGCCCGTCTGGCACCAACAACCATGCCACATTCAAAGTCACTTAAATCACATTTYTTCCTCATTCTGGTGCTCAGTTTGAACTGCAGCAGATCGTCTTGGCCATGTCTACTGCCTAAATACATTGAGTTGCTGTCATGTGATTGGCTGATTCAACATTTGCATTAATGAGCAGCTGGACAGGTGTACCTAATAAAGTGGACGGTGATTATATACAGTATGAGGACATATGYAACAATAAAGAAGAATCAAACTTACGCCATGCTGTTCTTGTCTTCGGCACATGCTCCAACAGCCTTGGTTACATTCACAAGCAGAGTCTGGATTAATCATAGTGAGCACACATCAGTCAGTAAAGAACTGTGTTATAAAGATAAAACAGTCCTAAATACAAAAGAGAAAACAATAAATACCTCGTTTAAATTGTTGAGCAGCTGAACTAGCAGCTTGATGCCTCCACCCTTGCAGATAGCGGCCCTGTTAGCTGCAATCTGAGCGAATTGTGCCAGAGCTCCCACTACATTGACCAGCACTTCATCAGGCTGATCAGGAAGCAGACCAACCAGAGTCTCTAGAGTGTTGTACTCCTGAAAGCTTTGGGCGAGAAAAAGAAAAAGAGGTTTGCACTGTGATCCATTGAACAAATATTCTATTGAATCTTTTTAGTTTTATTCATCACATAAACTAGTAATGACCATGAACCAAGAGTCAAAGGAAAATACTAATCAGAGGAGTTGAGGATTAAGCAGAACTTTCTCCTTTTTACACAAAATGAGTCGAAGTACATAAAAATCACAAATGTTTATTTTAGGTTTAATTTATGTATATAATTTATTTGCCTTTGACTTGTCTCATTAGCAATTACCCCAGGCAAATTAACAACAACAAAAATAAAATACTCCATCCATCCATCCATTTTCTGTACACACTTCCTCCTTTCAGGAACACGGAGGTCACTGGTGCCCATATCCAGCAGTCACAGTTCGAGGGGCGGGGTACACCCTGGACAGGTCGCTGAGGCCTTTGGTTGGTGCGGCCTGTTAGTATATCGGCACCTCACTGCAGCTGACGTCAATTAGGATCATCTGCTCTCAGGCTTCTTAAGGTGGCTCTGAACATCGGGTCCTCGCTGATCCATCACTTGCTACTGGTAAAGCATGTCAGCCTAGAAACTAGTTCTTTACCTGAGTCCTGTTAATGTTTGTGTTTACCTGTGCACAGAAAGCCTGTCTCCTGAGTTACCAGGACCCTCGCCTCCCTGATTCTGGAAATCACCCCAGAGCTACTCACCTGATCCTCCTCAAGCTGTCGCCTGTCTGCCTCCAACCTGAAAACAAGTCTGAAAGTACTCACCTGGATAACTTACCTGAAAACCCTCTCCTCTACGCAGAAAAGCCTCCTCCGAGCTGTAAAAAAACTTCCTGTTTACTCACCTTCAAATTACTTACCTCCTTGGAAAAAGACTGGAACTGATCATCTCTCTTTCCTTCCACAGCCCTGGTCCAAATTCCCTGTCACCTGTAAATAAAAGCACTTACCTTTTGTACTCCGTCTCATGAGTCTGTTTGTTATCAGTTTTTGCTCACGTTTGACTATTTACATGAAAACCTGTCAGTCGCAAGTCCATCACAGGGCCACACATAGAGACAAATGAGACAAACAACCATTCACTCCCTCACTCACACCTAGGGACAATTTAGAGTTATCAATTAACCTAACAGTCATGTTTTTGGTCTGTGGGAGGAAGCCAGAGTACCCGGAGAAAACCGTGTGCACTTGAAATGCGCGTTCATGTTGAAGGGTTTGAGTGCGTAGTGTGTCCCACATTCCCCACATCTGCCCTTCGCTCCGCCCATTTTGGGTACTATTTCCGCCCTTCCGCGAAGTCTGCATTTTTACGGCCTTTGGCGAAGTGTATTACCCATAATTCATTGCTGCATGTGACGTCTGGAATTAAAATGCAGACCGCAGAAGAAGAAAATCACTATTCATGGAAGGATGGATCATGGAAAAACTAATTTGGGCCATTGTTCATTTGATAAATGATAAAGGGGATTTATTAAAATATGAGGAATTTAGTATTAAATATAAAATAGTTTGTACCCCTGAGGATTACACAAATGTGGTTGAAAACATTCCAATTGCAATGATTAATATAATCAGATATAATTTAGATTCAACTCTAATCCCGTGATTGCATAAAATGATTATCAATTAATTAAATTTTGTATACAAAAAATGTAATAAACAAATTTTGAGAAAAAAATAATTAACAAAATATATCGTGAATTCTCTAAAACAAAAATTTTATTTAAAACATTTCAACAAACAAGAAATTTGATCAGTTAGAACAAAATTTTTGAAATTTCCAATCCTTCCTAAAGTTAAAGAAGTTCACTTTAAAATTTTAAATGAACTTCAAGAGAATTTATTTAAAAAATATTCAAATTTGAAATGGAGACATGACAATTTTGTAAATCATCAGTGGAATCAACTGAATATTTGTTTTGTGAATGTGAGATTTAACATAGATTTTGGAATTAAGTACACAACTGGTTATTCACTAAGTCTTTCCAAATAAGTCCCGTTTCCTGGAAAGATATTAAATATCAATATCAATATCAATTTAAAAGATGAATATTTGAGAAATCAGAAAATACGTTGGTTTCCTCAGTTAAAATTCATGGTGATCTCTTAAACCTTTCATAATTTGACGTTAAGGAGGAATTATATAGAACAGATAAATAGAATAGATAATTAAAAGATATGTAAATGTGAAATGGTCGTTAACTTATGTATGTTTGTTTTTTGTCTTTGTTCTTTTATATTGGTTCAATAAAAAAATGCCATGTTGGAAGTCGCAGTTATGCAGAGGAGTAAGTCTATGATGTAATCTGTACTGTCCCAATTCTCAATTTTTTTTGCACACTTGTAACCTGCGCACTCAAACACTTATGTGCACTTCGACTGAATCCACACTGCTTAGAGGGGCGTAGGGTGAGCACTGATCATTGGGACTGGGCCTTTGACTGAGGATCCCCTGTCTAAACTAAATCTAAACAGCTCATCCAGAAAAACTCATTTTAATTCCCCTAAAGTCAGTGTTTTTAACTCAAGTAACAGCTCTCATTGTTGGCACTTGGGTATGAAGATGTTTAGTTCTACCTCAGTGAGTAAACATGCATTAATATTAAACTGTTCACATAATGTGTATTTCAGAATAGAAATTATAGTAAAGTTTGATTTATGATATAATCATAAGAGTAACAAAAATGATAACATATTTGTTGTAGATTGGACACAGAAAAGGACATAAAAACTCAAAAAGCTTGGAGAAAAATAACAGATTTATTAACAAAAGAAAATGCTGACAGGGCARCAAAAAGGTGCTCACAATTAACTGTCAGAGCAAACATGAGGAACAAATACAAAGAGAGAAACTGACTGAAACAGCACAGCTAACAGRCAGGAGGAAAGACAGGACTCAAYGTAAAGCTGAGTAAATGAGGACAATTGGAAACACCTGGGCAGAGACACCAGGAAGCAGGTGGGCGGGGCTTGAGCAAAGACAGACAGGAGAACTAAACTGAAAAATACAGGAATCACAGGAAACAGAAACAAAAGAGGTCAACTGTAAAAAACACAAAGAACTAGAAATTAAGATACAGATCGTCACAATGATTCAATGAAAAAACAACATTTTCCCATAAATAAATTTGCTTCAGATGCTCATATTAACTCATGTAAACTTCATAACTGCATGAAAAAACAAGCTTTCATTGTTTAAACATATGCAGAAACTTTTCTAGTTAATTCTGTTAAAACACATTTTCTGATTAAAGCTCAGGGTCATCAACGTAATCATTGGTGATGTGTCTGTCTGATTATTAGTGAAATAATCTAAATGATTTGRTATTATTAGTTGTTATTGGTCACAGGAGGAGATTACATCAAACTCGGTATCTTCTACAATCCAGCGTTACAAAGACTTTTCCCACGGATCCTCACAGTCGTCCCTCTCATTCACTTTGCATAACCAAAGCTTAGCTGTGGCTTGGAAACTCTTCCTCCCTCTTTAGCTGTGTTTTTTGCCTTGTTTGCCTATGATATAGAGTAGTAAACTATAGTAAACATTCAAAAGGGATATACTGTGGTTTTAAAAAAAACCTCAACAAACCTCTGATGTACATTTAAGCTCTACGGCTGTTTTTATTCCCAGTTACGGTTGCTGGCATCCTGGTCTGTCAGCTATTGTAGATGGCCAAGGTCATTTGGTTTTGGTCACGGTCCACTGACAGACAGACTATTCTTGCAAGTAAAAACACTGCTAATGAACAGAGGAGCTGCYAAAGATAACTTTAGTGAAATTCATCATAATGAAAAAATGTTTTTTCTTTTACCATCTCTGAAGTGTCATCTGCAATTCACTCCAGTAGAATTATTGTGTAATCACAGACACAAGTGTTGATGAATGAACACTGTGTCAGGTCTATTTTRGTTAWGAGCTGAGGTAATCATGTGATGGTAGGAGGAACATCACACAGAGCTGCCTGAAGTGGCTTCTTCTGCAAACATTGGGCTCTTCACAGCTAAAGACTCAGGACCGTAGTGGAGCTTCTGTTTGTACAGGAGATCTTTACTGACTCTTGAGYTGTTGTCACACATTCAACCAGCTCTCATCTTCATTGAYAGCAGAATAAAACATTTTAGCAGARTAAAATGGCATGTTCTTATTTGAGTAAGGTTATTTCAGGGATATTTATGGTCTGCATCGTAGAGGTCAAACAGAAGTAAGATGGAAGGTTAGCCAGTATTTGGAAACAAGCCTCACAATCTTAACCCTAAACCATTACAACACTGACACATGCAGTTTAAAACTTGGCAGTCACAAKTTTCCATTGCAAARTTATTCCCTCAGTCTTTTGTTGAGGCTTTTTAGTGTTTTTGTGTGTCAATAACRYCTCAATACACAGAGGTGAAGGGGCCACATGTGGATGGGTTCATWAAMCTGCACACAATAATGTTTCAGTGTTTAGAAGTTGGCTTCCTACTCACATCGTTTGTATCATAAAAGTTTGACCCGGGATCGTTGGTAGAACAATGTGGCTTTTAGACAAATACATTTGGGTTATAAACATGATTATATTTCACAGGATCAGTCATGTCTGCTTTGGATGGATCAATAATCAAGCAAAAATAATAACATGTTTTCCCACTTGTCCTAATTGGAGAACTTTTACAGCGTCAGCACTGTCCAGACATTTTAAACCAAAGCTGCTTTRAAAACGCAATTAGCCACAAATCCTGTTTTATTTGTTCATGAACTTAATAAAATGAAGGGGGAAAATCTCACACTGCCTCCAATTATTACAGCAGTAAAAAATATTCCAAAAATAATTTTCACTTTATTGCACGACTCAGCCTGTGATTGGTTCTGAAAAGAGTCCTTGCCCCCCAAACCCCCGTCACATTAGCAGCTTTTCTCTTTTGACAGTAATGGTTCAGCCTCTGCTCTCGAAGCTTTTCACTGGGCTGGACATTTGAAGGGAATCAGGTGAGAGAGAGAGAGAGAGAGAGAGAGAGAGAGAGAGAGA